GATATTTGTTCTGGCTTTATCATAAACTCACTTTATTTTTATCTTTTTCTTTAGAAAACAAGACTTTTATCATTTTGCGTCTCAGGTAAATTTATCTTGATTTAATAATCAATGACTTAATGGAGATTGGGAGGAAGTTGCATTTGGAAACTTTTAAGTGTTGCTAATACAACTCATCATCTTTCTCCCTAGACATTTACATTTAGTGAACATATTGACGTGTTTCCTTCACTTTATTCCTTAAATTGTCTTTACTTGGTCTTAAGAAGGCCTTTAAAAAGTCTTAAATCCAACTTTATAAAACTTGCAGAAACCCTTAGTTAAGTAATATAATCCATTAGCGCTTTAATATATATATACTATTGTTCAAACGTTTGGAGTCTGTAAGATTTTTTTATGTTTTTGAAAGAAGTCTATTTTGCTCTCCTATGTTGCATTTATTTGTTCAAAAATACAGTCAAAACCGTAATATTGTTAAATATAATAATATTAAAAAACTGTTTTTAATGTGTTATATAATGTAATTTATTGCTGTGATCAAAAAGCTGAATTTTCAGCATCATTACTTCAGTCTTCAGTGTCACATGATCCTTCAGAAATCACTCTAATATGTTGTTTTGCTGCTCAAGAAACTGCTGATTATTATCAGTGATTCTTTGAGGATTCGACAGTTCAAAAGAACAGCATTCGTTTGATATTGATGAAACATTATAAATGCCTTTACTGTCACTTTTAATCCGTTTAATGTATGCTTGCTGAATATAATTATTTATTAATCTTTAAAAAAAATTCACTGACCCCAAAGTTTTACACAGTAGTGTGATTCACTTCTGTAGACTCATGCTGTCTTCTGCTCTCTGTATCTCAGACTGGAGGTGGGTGGATTGTCATCCGCTGACAGACGTTGATTTTGAGGTGCTAAAGCCTCGCTCGCCCTCCCGTCCGGCTGGCATGTCTCTTCCGTCCTTCAGTTCTTCCTGGACCAGCCCCATTTCCCAGAGAGACCCGAGCTCTGGCAGCAGTGAGGGTCACAGGCAGACCCCGGCCCGATGTCCTGCAGCCAGCCATGAGCCTCAGCTGGAGGCTTTGCACCGAAAGGTGGTGTCTTGGTTTGGTGACCATCCCTCAGCTCCTTTTGGCGTCCACCAGCTGGTAGAGCTAGGAAAGGAGTCGGGAAAGAGAGCGGGGGACTGGTACGGCCCGTCCGTAGTGGCACATATGCTGAGGTTAGAGGAGAGAAAATGAATCTTATCATATTTAGATTTAAAAGCTTCTTTTGAATAACTGAACTTTTGACCTTTTGTGATTTAATGTCTTTTTTTCCACCAGAAAAGCAGTGGCTAAAACCACGGAGTTTCACAACCTGGCTGTATACGTGGCACAGGACTGCACGGGTGAGGCTTCATGTTCAGTCTTGTGGGTTGTGCGTCATGCGATCGTTTTAAATCAAATCAGTTAGTGAAACTGAAATTGTTTCCTGTACATGTCTGTAAGTGATGTTTAGCTCATGCTTCTGCTTCTGTGTGTGCTGCAGTGTATAAAGGAGATGTCATGAAGTTGTGTGAGTCGCCGCTAACACAGGAGCTGTCCGAGAGCTGGAAGTCAGTCATCATTCTAGTGCCGGTACGGCTGGGAGGAGAATCGCTAAACCCCTCCTACATTGAGTGTGTTAAGGTACAAATACACTAACACCCGTGTGGGGGGAAAAACTTAATTTAAATATATAGATCACTTTGCAAACTGGCCAAAACAGATATTATATTATATTTTTATTAATATTGTAATAATGTCATTGTTATATATTGGACACCCATTTTGGTGTCTGCATCAAAATAAATTTACTAAAGTGATTTTATATACATAAAAAGCATATTATATACAAGTGTCTACTTTAATGGTTCAAAAACTTTTGTGAACCTAAAATGTCAAAATATGTTGGAAAATGTTTCATCATCATTCAGCAAAGAGTGAAAAATTTAAGGGGGTCTGAATACTTTCCGTACCCACTGTATATTTATGTAAAAAAGAAACAACATTTATATATTACATTATATTATAATAATGATATAAATTATTAATTTTCACAGCATTAAAGTAAATCATATGGCCCTATTTTACTATATGATTCCAAGTAAAAGAAATATAAAAGTAATGTATTCGGCTTTACATTGCAATTGGCATGATCAAAACGTAAAAAAAATTGTGAATCACAATTATTTTTGTGACAATCATCACAAAATTCATGATGAGACACACAGACATATTAAGTACATATAATATATTACATTTATATTTTATTTATACTAACCTCTCTTTTCCTAGAACATTCTCAAGTTAAAATGCTGTATAGGAATTATTGGAGGAAAACCCAAGCATTCCCTGTTTTTTATTGGCTTTCAAGGTACGTGTCTATTAAGAATAGTGCTGTCAAACGATTAATCGCATCCAAAATAAAAGTTTTTGTTTGCATAATATATGTGTGTATACTGTGTATATTTATTATATATATATAGATACACAGTATATATATTGAAAATATTTCCATGTATATATTTATATTAATATAATTGATATTATGTGTGACCCTGGACCACAAAACCAGTCATAAGGGTCCATTTTTCGAAATTGAGATGTATACATCATCTGAAAGCTGAATAATAAGCTTTCCATTGATGTATGGTTTGTTAGGATATGACAATATTTGGCCGAGATACAACTATTTGAAAACCTGGAATCTGAGGGTGCAAAAAAATCTAAATATTGAGAAAATCGCCTTTACAGTTGTCCAAATGAAGTCCTTAGCCATGCATATTACAAATAAAATACAGTAGGAAATTTACAAAATATCTTCATGGAACATGATCTTTACTTAATATACTAATGATTTTTGGCATAAAAGAAAAATCAATAATTTTGACCCATACAATGTATTTTTGGCTATTGCTACAAATATACCCCAGTGACTTAAGACTGGTTTTGTGCTCCAGGGTCACATATATAAATATCGTAAGTGATGAAACATAACAGATTTTTCTTAAATATATACATGCATGTGTGTGTTTTTATATATACATAATAAATATGCACGGCACACACACATATATTATGTAAACAAAACTTTTATTTTTGGATGCGATTAATGGTTTGACAGCACTAATTAAGAACTATGTTTTGATATGTTACTGCGTTCCTGTCTGCTGTCTGATTGGCAGCTCTCTGTCTTCCAGACGAGCAGCTATTGTATCTAGACCCACACTACTGTCAGCCAGTGGTGGACGTCACCCAAGGCAGCTTCTCTCTGGAGGTGAGATGGAAAGCAACATTACATTTGCATCAGAAGACATTTTCATTTTGAAGTTTTGACCATGTGTGAGGAACTGAAGCTGCATCGGTCTTTTCTCTCGTAGTCTTTTCACTGTAACTCGCCTAGGAAGATGAACTTTAGTCGTATGGATCCCAGCTGCACCATCGGATTCTACGCGCAGACTAAGAGAGACTTTGAGTCTTTGTGCTCAGCGGTCAGTGAAGTGAGTGTCTTGTTTGAATCAATAAGATATATGTTTCTTGGAATAAAACATTTGAAATTTGTCTTTGTTCACTGAATATATACAATTAGCGAATTAATGGCGCAATTTTAATTTTTGATACTTTTGTGAAGCCATTTCGGAATGAATGCATAAATATCAAGAAGCTGAAATAAGTACTATTATATATTTTTTCAAATATGGATATTATTTTTTGTTCTTTTTCAGGCTTTGTCATCCTCTAAAGAGAAGTATCCCATCTTTACATTTGTAGAGGGCAGGGGACAGAACTATGGACTGGAGGGGCAGAGCGGGGGGTCCATGGACAGTCCTGCAAACATTTTCTCATGCAACAGAATGAGCAGGAACAATAAGAGAGGAAGCACAGATGAGTTTGTGCTCCTGTAAGGAGCGTATCGCATGTAACACAGACCCGACACCAGTGATGCTGCACCCAACTTCATAAAACTGCTGTTCCTCACGTCTGTGCACTGCAGAATATAAAGCAAACCTGGCACTGAGATTCTCAAGAAAACCTTTGCGAGTCATGTTTCACCCCAAAACCAAAGGAAAACTAAGAAATTATGTTTTGCATAAAGAAAACATTGCATATTTTTAGAACTTTGTTGTGATGTTATTTTCATGACAGTTAAGCACATTTTCCTCCAATTTATCATTAACATAATGCCAAAAACCTTTTGTTCTCCATGCCGTAATGTAAAAAAGCTATATTATTTGAATTGTAATGTGTTTTTGCACTGCCTTTAATTGATCTCATTTGTAATTTAAAAATTGTTGCTTTTGATTGTTGCATTACAGTATGAGCATGTTTTTGCATTACATTAATGAGAATTTTGAGAGGAAATATGCTTAATTATCAATGTGAAAAATTTAATAATTCTAAAAATAAGGTTAGCTTTCTTAATGCATAATATAATTTTGGGGTGACATCTGCACTACTTTGGTAAACTTCTCCATCGATGTGACATTTGTTCATGAATGGATGCGAAGCATTTTCTATCATTGCATTTTATTCTGCTGATTTAGCCACATCAAAGGAATAGCTCACCCAAAAAGGAAAATTTAGCTTTAACTTCATTTGAACAGATTTGGAGAAATTTAGCATCACTTGCTCAGCAATGGATCCTCTGCAGTGAATGGGTGCCGTCAGAATGAGAGTCCAAACAGCTGATAAAAACTGATAATCTACACCACTCCAGTCCATCAGTTAACATCTTGTGAAGTAAAAAGCTGTGTGTTTGTAAGAAACAAATCCATTACTAAGGTATTTTAACTTTAGACTGTTGCTTCTGGCCAAGATATGAGCCCATAATCCATCATTTTTTAGCTTCCTCCAGTGACAAATTTGCCTCGTCATGCAGCTTTTCATTTCACAGAATGTTAATTGATGGACTGGAGTGGTGTGGATTATTGTGATGTTTTTATCAGCTGTTTGGACTCTCATTCTGACGGCACCCATTCACTGCAGAGGATCCATTGCTGAGCAAATTTTCATTTTTGGTTGAAGTATTCCTTTAACATGTATATAACGCATACACACTAACATTTTGTCTCATACACTGAACACATGATCCTGCTGTTGTGTCTCTGTCTTTAAGAAGGTACAGGGTGCTCTAAATTTGTTTGTTTTCTGAGTCTGCTCTATAACAGAGCTGGAGGGATTGTGGGTTGTTATGACAATGAGTAAACCTCCTTGTTGCTGTATGATATGGCTGGGTTTCTAAGTTGTGTAAATTGAAAATCTCTCAGCTTGTGTGCTTGAACTGGGTGTAGTTTTGTTTTAAATCATTGTGCTTCATTTGTCACCAGTTTACAGCTTTCTCTTATTTAATTGTATTTTTTACAGGGAATCACAGCCGTAGTACCTCCTCGAGCTCCAGAAGTTGTGCGGCATTTAGTCTGATGCTGGAAGCTGTCTGAATATTTGATGTCTGATTTGCTTTTGCTTGTTCAGGTCAACAAAATTAGCTGTTACTGTTCAATCTTATTTAAGATGTTAATTTTATTTTTACAACTTGTATTTTTGATCATCGTTCTGAAGATGCACCGGATGAAGCTGAACTGCTGTCACTGTTTGAACAATCGTTTTTTGAATAATTGTAGATTTTTCATTGTGTATCTTTTGTCTTTGGACTCTTTCCTGGACATGGGACCAGTGGACAAGAGATCATGTGGACTTTTGTTTATTGTTTTCTTTTTTCGGAATTGGAAGATGGAAATGATCAAGTAAATGTAAGAGAGAAGTAAATTGGTTATAATGCCGCAATTGTCCTCACTGAGTATATGACATTAAAATAACTAAGTATTTTTAAAACAACAGTTTTTGACCTGATATTTGAGTGCATCTTGGTACCATTGAGCAGGAACGCTACTGTCATATTTGCTTTTGAGTTTGTTTGTTTTTTAACAAAAGTGTGTCAAAAATAGAACAAATATGATGAAATTAGTGAGATATATGTGACCCTGGAGCACAAAACCAGTCATAGGTAGCACGGGTATATTTGTAGCAATAGCCAACAATACAGTGTATGGGTCAAAATGATTGATTTTGCCAAATATCATTAGGATATTAAGTAAAGAAAGATCACGTTCCATGAAGATATTTTGTAAATTTCATACCATAAATATATCAACTTATTTTTGATTAGTTATATGCATTACTAAACGCGGTTTTCTCAATAAAAAATTTTTTTTCGCACCGATTTGTCCAAATAGTTGTATCTCAGCCAAATATCGTCCTATCCTAACAAACCCTACATCAATGGAAAGCTTATTTATTTAGCTTTCAGATAATGCATAAATCTCAATTTTAAAAAAAAATTACGCTTATGACTGGTTTTGTGGTCCAGGGTCACAAATGGAGTAAAAAGCTCTTATTTTGTACCTGTCTATAGGGTTTAGTCGCGGACTTTTATTTTGAAGAGGTGTGAAGGGCAGGGCGCTGACTTCCGCCTGGCCGAAGACAGCAGGAGCTGAGATCAGGGCGGATTCACCGAGTCTGGAGAAACATGGACAGTCAAGGCAGGAAAGTGGTGGTGTGTGACAACGGGACCGGGGTGAGTGTGACTGCGGAGCTCATACGGCTCGCTCCGGCCCGCCTGATGCTTTATTTCGCGGCTGTGTGTGATTTAATGACGGCTTGCAGGAGAAAGATGCAGCGGAACAGGAAGTGATCTGATAGCACCTTATTTTACACTGATTATTTGTGATTTACACACGACCCGTGATGTGGAAAAACTCTGCTCGCATGCACGGAAATCATAGATCGGGACTGATTATAAATGGGTTTGCATGGGGGTGTTTTGTGGAAGCTTTGTATATGTATTGACACAATGGACATTCACACATATTGATATTTTAACGAGGTCGCAGAATGAGCACGCATTATTTATGAAATTAGATGTTTATGCACATTTATATCAACGATGCATGTGTTTTTCTGTCAGTAAAAGGAAAGGTTATGATGATCTCAAACTCACTTCCGAGTTTGTAGTCTCACATCTGGCCGAGAGAGGAAGTGACAAACCATAGACACACATTCCTTCATCATTCTCTCTCTCTCTGGGGATAAAGGCTAATGAAATGGTACAGCAAGGAACTTCAAACTTCATGTTGTGGTACATATCCCGTGGTACCATGGTATTAGCATAATACATGTTCAGAAAACACCATGTCGCTGTGATAAATGTCCAGAACTCTGTGGGAACTGATCAAAAATGCATGGCATTGTCATAATATGTGCTTACATTCCGTATTAAATGTACACAAAATTGCCTACTTATTTATATTATTACAATTACCCTTCCAAAACACACAGAAAATAATGTGTTTATTTTAAACTGAACATTAGTGTAGATGTATTGAGATATATCAGTGCATTTATTCTGCTGTGTCGTTTTATATTTATGCATGACAGCCGGTTAAGCGCGTTGTTTGTTATGAAGTGCACACTAATCTCGGGCCCTTCCTGTTCAATTTCCAAAAGCATCTAAATCCTTTTTTTCTTTTTTTACATTTAATAGCTAGTGATCTAACTTTCTGTCTTTATTTCTTTCATTTTTTCCGTTTTAGTAACTTTAGTACATGTTTTTAATAACTAGTGTTCTAACTTTCTATCTTAAAGGGGTCATAGGGCTTTTTTAAAGATCATTATTTGGTGTAACAGAATATGTTGACATGCTTTTAATGTTCAAAAAACACATTATTTTTCAAATACTGTACATTATTGTAGGTCCTCTGTGCCTCGCCTCTCTCAAACACTTCGCTTTCTACAAAGTCCCTCCTTCCGACAAGCGCAGTCTGCTCTGATTGGCCAGCTGACCCAGTGCATTGTGATTGGCCGAATACCGCAAGCACTCGCCGGAAATGTAACGGGAAAACTTGAAATCGCATCATATGACCCCTTTAATATTTGAGCTTTTATTTTAATATTTTCATTTTTTTCTTTTTCTTTTAGTTTTGCGAAGTTTATGTGCTTTTGTAATTTTATTGTTTAGTTTTTTTATTTATTTGTATTTCAGTTTTGGTCATTTTAGTACTTCAACATATTTATTTCTGTTAGTAGCCAAAGCAACATTGAATTTTTTTCATAATTCTCTGTCTGTCTGTCATTCAGTTTGTGAAGTGTGGATATGCTGGCTCTAATTTCCCAGAGCACATATTCCCGGCTCTGGTGGGGAGACCGATCATCCGCTCCACAGCCAAAGTGGGAAACATCGAGATCAAGGTAAAGGTTCCTCGCTGAACTGCACCCTAAATCTTTCCCTACAATGACACCATGACTTGGGCTCTGTCCCAATCACCCAGTGAGCTGCCTTACTTTATACACCCTACAGCTGCATCTGTGTTGAAATGCAACCCTCACAACAAGTAACTAAACAGTTCATTTTTAATTAGATGAACCTGCATTATAATGATGCTTTGAAATGCTACCTATGTAGGTCGTTCAGTAGATTTTGTATCAGAGGTTGTAAATTGTCATTCTAAGGATTTCAAAGAAACACTATGATGGTCATATTTGGTAACGGGACATAAACAGCAACTTGAGTAACTTCCTGCTTGACTTGAACTTCCTGCAGAGTGGTTTTAACTGGGGGTGGAGCTGCTATGAGAGGGTTTACAGGTTCCTCTGACTGAAATATTCATCTTTGTTGTCACTTCAGAAGAAAAAACGAAATATTGAGATATGTATTTATTATTGTCAAAAGACTGTGCAGGTGAACAGGTTTTTATAAAAATGGACATTTACTAAATGTTGTGTAAACAGTACACTTTGTTTTCTGAAAAGAATTTCTGTTCTTAGGCAAATGAGACATCATAGCATGTAGTCCAGCTGATATTTATTAATATATCAATAAATTGAGCACAGAATAAAATACTTTCTTAAAAATGAACAAAAACCTACTGGTGTGTTACAGTGGTTACAACAGATCAAGTACTAAGAAATATTTTTTCAAACAACTGATTGACAAGACAACAAATTAAGAGAATTAATGTTAACTAATTTAATTGATGCATTTAAAATCATTTTAATACAATTATTTAAAAAAAAGAATAATTCCCCACATATACTGATTTCCTTTAGATTTACATTAAGCATTTTTATTTTAATGATTTTTTTTTTTTCGTAAATAGTACTTTTGTATGTAGGACAAGTTTGGTCCTTTACTTCAAGAATCAGTGCGCTAACATTTGCTCTCATTGCTCATCGCCTGTTCCCTCTGTATTTGTCTTTCTCTCCTCTGTTACTGTATTGAGTTACTGTAGGATTATAGGAGAATGGTAAGTGTGTGTGTGTGTGTGTGTGTGTGTGTGGGTTGTGAGTCTAACCTGTAGCGATTCTCTCTCCAAACCCTCTCAGGAGATGCAGAGGAGATGATTATTGTATTAATGTTCAAACTAATTATAAATCTCGTTCTCTCACTAACCCTGATGAAATGATCTTGCTTGTATGTGTCAGTGTTTGACATTACCCAGAATGCGTGTGCTGTGTCCAAATAGGATATACAGGGTTCATGGTCCTAGAAAGCCAGGAAATGTCAGATTAGAAGTGTGTTTTTAACACCTGAAAATTTCTATAATAATATTTAATTATGATTTTTTTTTTAAATATGGGAGCCAGTCTTGTTTTAGTATTTTTTTTTTTTTTAATTTATAGTATTATTAATATTTTGAATTCAATTTTATTTTTATGCTTTCGGTTTTTATTTTAATTTTAGATGACATTTGAGTAACTTTATGTGCTTTTGTAATTTCTGTTCTGTTTTTTTTTTCTATTAGTTTGCTTTTGTAATATCATCTTTTATTTTATTACATTTTAAGTAATTTTAGTACGGAAATTTCAGTTGCCGATGCAAGATTTGTGATTTTCATGTAAGTTTCTTACATTTTTCTTCTATTATCTATCTTTTTGTTTTATTTCAGCTTTATTTCAATTTACAATTTTAGTTTACATTTACAACACTGATGGGAACCCTGGTTGTGTTTTCATTCAACAGCTTTCTCTGTAGTTACAGCCGGTGTGACCCGTTTACTCACTTTTAATGACTGTATTGCAGTGCTTTTAATGTCTTTGCTGTCAGATTCATGAGTAAACTCATCAGTGTGCTTCATAAAAAACATTGACTTTTATTTAGAAAATCTGGTGCAGTTTTTTTCTCCCAGTTGTCTCCAGCTCCATTCAACACATTTAATTTCTCTCAACCTGGACAGCTTCCGTTCAGCTCGAAATGAGTTACCATTGAGCGTCCTGACCTTTGACCTCTCCTGTGTGACCTGTAGGACCTGATGGTGGGCGACGAGGCGAGCGAGCTGCGCTCCATGCTGGAGGTGAACTACCCGATGGAGAACGGGATCGTGAGGAACTGGGACGATATGAAGCACCTGTGGGACTATACTTTCGGCCCCGAGAAGCTCAACATCGACTCCCAGAACTGCAAGATCCTGCTCACAGAGCCGCCCATGAACCCCACCAAGAACCGAGAGAAGATCATCGAGGTTTGAGCGCCAGTTTGTTGAATAACATCTGTGAGAAATCCTCAGTGAGGTTTGTGTTTGTGATTTTTGACCCTATTGTCTCCCTGTAGGTGATGTTTGAGACCTATCAGTTCTCAGGCGTTTATATCGCCATCCAGGCCGTGCTCACTCTGTACGCTCAAGGTAAGGAAACCTTTATTGATGAGAAAATATATACATTTAAAAAGAATATATATATATATATAATAAAATAATAAATATAAAATTAAATTAACAATAATAAATATATAATGATATACAATATTATATAATAAAAACAAACAAGAACTCGGTGCTAGACGTGACGAGCTGATGTTTGTGTGCAGGTCTGCTGACGGGTGTGGTGGTGGACTCTGGAGACGGTGTCACTCATATCTGTCCAGTGTATGAAGGTTTTTCTCTTCCTCATCTCACGCGGCGTCTGGACATCGCCGGACGCGACATTACACGCTACCTCATCAAGGTACAGTCCTGTAGATGCTCTGTCTCAGCTGTTGACCGTTTACATGCACATTTTTGTCTGAATCTGAATCGCTTCAGTCCAACTGAGCATTTCTAATGCAATGCTAATGCATCTAGTGTAAATATTACAATATCAGTAGGGATGTAACGATTCACTCAACTCACGATTTCTTTTTAACAAAATGAGGTTTAAGACAAATTATAAATTAAATGTGTCCTTTTATTATTGCTTGGACAAAATGCTGCACATTTCTTTGTCAAATTGAAATATAACACTATAATAATATACTAATATAGCACTTGCATATTATTGCTCTTTTGTTAGTTTTGATTGCTTCTATTGTCCTCATTTGTAAGTCGCTTTGGGTAAAAGCGTCTGCTAAATGACAACATTTAAATATAATGTAAATAACAAAACTAAATTGAAATTTTAAAACAAGCCCCAAATCAAATAAACAAGTAACACAAATAAAAGAAATCTCTTCATATAAACAAACTAAGGCTTTGTCTGTGCTCTTTCCTTTTGAAATTAGAGGCAACCACTGCATTTTAATCATGATCCATACACAGATGCTGCATACATGCAACATGAGCAGTTTTAAGCTACATTAGATTGTATAATGTTCTAAATTTGAAGCGAAAACAGAATGGTTTGACTTCAGTTTTGTGAAACTATACTTAAAAATATCTGCATGAAACCGAAACAGCAGATGAGCTGAATGAGATGCAGATTCACTCTCTGCCAGCAGGTGGCGCTTAAAGCATTTCCTGGTTTCCGCTGTAAACAAAGCAGCGCTGCGCTTATGAACTTTAATATGCATTATACAGAGGCAAGATGAAAAGAAAAAAAATACCATCTAAACTTTTCTAAAGACAGTAAGTTCCCCTCAGACATACATTCATATAAACTCCTGCCCCTAAATGAATCGCGATTTGTTTAGCATCTCAACCGATTTGAATCGTCACATATTTGAATCGATTTTCAGTCCTGACTGAGAAAGCAAACGGCTCAACATGCCAATCAGCAAGGTTGTCTTTCTAGCATAGATCAAATATAAACTTTTTTTTGCACATTTCTCATTTTACTTAAAGGTGAAGTATGTTTTGTTTTTCAGTGTTAAAGTGTAACACTTCTATCAGAAAAAGTATTTATGCAGAGTCAACCATTGTTATTTTAGTATCATTTATATACCATTATAGTTCTTTTTATCATATCATATATGTTTGTGTGTGTGAGATTAGCTTTTTCATTTTCTGCTTTCATTTTAATCTTAAGTAAAAAAAAATTTCATTTGAACAATTTTGTTATATGCTTTTATTATTTCTATTAGTTTATTTCTATTTTAAGTTGAGTTTTATGAGCTTATTTCAGTTAGTTGTCAATGCAACACTTCTAATTATCATTTAGATTTAAGTTTATGTAATATTTGAACTTTATTTCAATTAGAAATAGAAAATAATTGTTTTTGATGTAGTTTCCACGGACAAATGTCCAGACTGAATCTTAACGCTCTTCGTCTCTCTCCAGCTGTTGTTGTTGAGAGGTTATGCCTTCAATCACTCAGCGGACTTCGAGACAGTGAGGATGATGAAGGAGAACCTGTGTTACGTGGGCTATAACATCGAGCAGGAGCAGAAGCTTGCGCTGGAGACCACCGTGCTGGTGGAGTCCTACACGGTGAGTTCAGCCCGATGGAGCTTCATTAACCCATAAGCTCTGTTCCCAAAACTAGTCAGCATTTAAAGCTATCATACCACCTTTAAAAGCTAGACTGGATCCCCCAATGAGCCTCCAGACAGCAGCCTTGTTCTTGCCACCAGAGGGCAGCAGAGTGTTGTGTAAATGTAACTCTTTGAGAGCGTCAGTGGTGTGTTCACACTCTTTCTCACTGGGTTTGTAGCTGCCGGATGGTCGGGTGATTAAAGTGGGCGGCGAGCGGTTCGAGGCTCCGGAGGCTCTGTTCCAGCCTCACCTCATTAACGTGGAGGGAGTGGGTGTGGCTGAACTGCTCTTCAACACCATCCATGCCGCTGACATCGATACCAGGTCAGTTTAAATATTCCTATTTACATAGTCATTTAGCAGATGCTTTTATCCAAAGCGACTTACAAATGAATTCTATTCAGAATAAAAAAAAAAGAATGAAAAGATTCTGTTCCTATTGCACATCCAATATTAATATAGAAGAGTATGTTGTATTATATAATGCATATTATTATACATTTATATTTCTATCTTTATCTGTTATGATATATAATGTTTATATGTGACCCTGGCTGTGAAAGCGCAGCTAAAGTCATTTTTTTTGGTGATTTACTGTTTTCTACATAAAATCATCCGTCATTAAGGTAAAGAACATTCTGTGAAAATGTAACACTGATATCTTTAATATTTGACTGAGTAAGACCTTGTCAAAGATTGAAATCATAGTGAAATGAATGGTTGAAATCAAACTTTGATGCTTATCTCATAATTAGATTTTGAGACTTTAACCTGTATTTCACAGAGAGGGCCACATATGTTCTATAATGTAAAATAAAAATTAAATGTATACTTTACACATTATACCTTTATCTGTTATATATTGTCAAATGATTTAATACTATTTTATCAGTTTTTGTCTCCTTTTTTGCATACAAATTGTGTAATATCTTTTAAAAAATAGATTTAAAAAAACATTTTAAATTGTTTAAAATACTAAACAATATATATATATATATATATATATAATTATTGTACATTATAGTTGTATAATTATAAATGTTATAATATTTTAATAATGCTAAAACTTTTAATAATAATATTATAATTATTATCTTTATTTTTATATCTTTATCTCTTACAATATATTATATTTATATATTATAAAAATTGTAAATATTACTTATGACATATATTTATTATATATTGTCATTATAGTTTGACCTTAATATCATTATTATTATCTTTATATTTGTATCTTTATCTGTTAATATATATATTTGTGTATGTGTTTGTGTGTATATATAACTGTAATTTAAAATATTATGCATTACATATTTCTTTATCTGTTAGATATATCGTGCCAAATATTATCTTATTTTTGTCTATTGTTTGTCTCAGACTGTGTTTTACAAAGCATCATGTAATATTTTTTTTAAAATATAGAAAATAACTTAAATGTTTAAATCTTTGAAATATTAGACATGTTGATAATAAATGATTACTATAATATTGTCAGTAAAAAGAGTGCTTAATGTTTGTACGACATTCCAAATGTAAAGATTCATATCACCGCTGCACAGCACGAGACAAAAATTGAATGAAATCGTTTATGCGGCCAAAATTAATCCTCAAACGATCCCTTGTATCACCATATCATGACCTGTCCGTCTTATGACTTCACATTGACCCTAAAAAAAAGAGTAAGAAACAGGAGGATGTTGTGTAAGTAGAGAGACAAAACAAAAAAAAAAATGTATTTTTAAGAAAAAAAAACCTTCTTTGGTAATAAAATTGTTTTTGTAGTAAGAATAAAAATCGCTGCAGCCAATTTGCTAATAAAAAAAGAAGAAGAATATAATCGTGGCCAATAGTATCAAACACAAAGATGTACTTTTAAAGGCAGATTGCTTTTGCTGAAACGTCTACTTTCTTTCTTTAACTTCCCGTGATGTCTTTCTCTGGCTTTAATCTCAGCATCTGCGCACTCCATTATTGGATGCCCTGAAAATAGAGAGAGAACAAATGCAGTAGCGACCGGGACCAACTTCTCCAAATAGCATTTAACAGAACATCTGAAGAGCGTGTTTTTGTCAAATAATGTCGCTGAGGATGCTTTGAATGCACTCGTGATGAGCAGAGTCTCATTTTAGTCGTGAAAATTGGTATTTGTAAGTCTTTACGGATCGACTCTCTGTTCATGTCATTCCGCCTGCAGTTCCAGGATCAGTTTAAGGGACCTTCGTAAAAAAAAAAACTATGTATATCAGACTGCATTTGAAAGGGAAGTGATAACGTTCTGCTGCATGTTTCACGTAGAATCGAGGAAACCTAGTTTCCGCATCTAGCTGAAATGTGTGTGGGTCACGTTTACACTGCAAAATCAAAAGAAAGTAACAAGCCGTTTTCTTTTAAAGAAACGCTACCTTTTTTTTTTTGTATTGTAACATTATTTTCATGACATTTCAGCACTATTGTTTCTAAATTCTCATTACCGCAATGCTAAAAAAATCATTTACATTACCATAATGCAGAAAAATCCCTCATTTTTATTTCCATAATGCAAAAAAGAAACCTTTTCATCATCGAATAACTAATGTATTGTCATTAATATAATGCTTTTTAAAATTGGTTCGGTTTTGTTCTTTTATGCAGATTTAAATTTAAAAGTAAATCATTGAGTATTTGTATTGTAATACTCTAAAAACGACAGTAATGAGAATATAATTAGATTCACCATCCTGTAGGATAAGAGGAAGTCAAATGTCCAGGGTTGTGTTGTGGTAATGAGAATATTGAAGATGACTGTTTAATTTGTTACGAAAGTAATGTCGCAATGCAAAAAGCTTTATGATACTAAAAGAGGAGGATCAAATGTAATTCTGATTGCTTTTCTTTTTGATTTTGGTGTGATTGGTTGAGATTCACACACGGAGAATCGGCCTTAAAACATCAGCAGTGTGTTTAGTCGTTGCTCATACATGTGCATCATCCATCACTTCACTTAGCGCGTCGCTCATTCCATTGCAATGACCCTGCATCCTTTTCATCAGCTCATTCATTTAGTGTTCCAGTGAGTCGCAATGGCGCTTGAGTCTCACGATTGTTCTCTTTGCTACTTTTTTTATGGCTTTACATTCATGTTTTTTCTTTGCTGTTGGTTTCATGTCCTAGTCGAGTTGCATCTAACAGTCTGGGAACAAAGGGCCTCGCTGACGCCCGACGGGTGTTTCTGGGTCATGCGCTTCATTCCCAGACTGTAGGCACCCGTGATGTAACGGTTTACTGCCTGTTTGTAATATGAATGACATAATAATGATGGTATTGTTAATGATGCTAATAATTGTAGTGTTTGTACTCGTGACAGCCGTTTGGTAGCTGGATCAGTGATGTTTCTGTGTTTGCACACACTCACACATGGAACAAACTGTATATATTCACTCACGCATTCTTCCAGTGCCAAGTTTGGGTATTGTGGTCATTTTGTTTGTTTGTTTGTTTTCTGCTTTTTGGTTTTTGTTTTGTACTGCCAGACCACTGATTTAAATAAAGAAAATTGATTTATAACTCAACGGTTAAAGTGAGTCTTTTAAGCTGACTGAAGCCAGTGCTGTTGTGTGTGTGTGTGTGTGTGTGTGTGTGTGTGTGTTACAGAGAGAAAGTCGTTTTTCTTCATATGTGGCATGTAACTATGGAAGCGCACAAGGAATTGCTGCCCATCTCTGTTACCATGGAGATGTGCTGTACACAAGCAGTGTCTTTTCTGTCTGTTCATCTCTTAGAGCTGTAATTTACAGTACCAGCCTGAGACACACATACTCATTATTTATTCATGCTAATATCCATATTTGTATAAGTTAACAAACATGCATGATCTGTCTGTATGTGTATACACACACATGCACACACACTCACACACATATTTATGTATTATATATGTATATATAAGTACACAAACGCACACTAATTATGTCACAAAATGGTTAAATAATTCATGCAAACACCATCAAATAATGAATTCCCTTTATTTATTTATTTTTTTGTCTGATAAGTAGTCATGTAACAGGCTTGATAATATACGGTCAACCAGTTACATCAAAATAATTCTGATCACTTTTTGCCATAATGATTGCTTGACTACATTATCTCTGAATATTAACATTGTATGCATATGTGCTTCTCCTTTTCATGACATTTTAGTTATTTTTTACCCTAAATCCTCATTACCATAATGCTAAAAAATGAATTTCTCATTACCATAATGCAGAAAAATCCCTCAATTTATTACCATTATGCAAAAAATGAAACCTTTCATTTATTAATTAATTAAAAAAAATTATTGTTATTACCTTAATGCTATTTATTATTATTATTATTGTGTAGTATTAAATACTACATGGCAGGTTTTGTACTGTTTTATGCTCTCATTACCATAATGCAGAAAAATCCCTCAATTTATTACCATTATGCAAAAAATGAAACCTTTCATTTATTAATTAATTTAAAAAAAAATATTGTTATTACCTTAATGCTATTTATTATTATTATTATTGTGTAGTATTAAATACTACATGGCAGGTTTTGTACTGTTTTATGCTGATTTAAAGGGGTCATATGATGCGATTTCAATTTGTCCTTTCTCTTTGGAGTGATACAAGCTCTTAGTTTATAAAGAAGATCTGTAAAGTTGCAAAGACTAAAGTCTCAAATCCAAAGAGATATTCTTTATAAAAGTTAAGAGTCAGCCACGCCTATCTAAAACGGCTCATTCTAACACGCCCCCACATGTCTATGTCACGATGTGGGAAGATTTGCATAACACCGCCCAAATGTTCACGCAAAGAAAGAAGGCGTAACTTTTATTCTCGCTGTAGTATTGTTGTTTCCTCCGCCATGTCGTAAAGACGCTGTGTGTTTCGTTGTGAAAGCGAAACTACTTTGTTTGGCCTTCCAAAAGAGGACGATATCGCTTCCTCATGCCTGGAGCTGACCCGTGCTGGTCGCTGAGGAAATACATCAACTTCGCGCTGTCGATTGCCGGATCGTCTTTCACCGTGGACGAAGCGGAGTCCAGCCCGGGGTCGTCACATGGGGTTTGCCGCAAGCTCTCCGGATGCTCCTTCGTCGAATCCGCCGGCCGCGCTGTTCTCAAGCCCACCCGCCTCTTACTCTAGGCCTCCGGCCTCTGCTCACTCTAGCCCACCGTGTGTGACGCTGTTTCTCGTTGTGAAAGCGAAACTACTTTGTTTGGCCTTCCAAAAGAGGACGATATCGCTTCCTCATGCCTGGAGCTGACCCGTGCTGGTCGCTGAGGAAATACATCAACTTCGCGCTGTCGATTGCCGGATCGTCTTT